GTTTGTCAACAATTTTATGCCGCAGTCGTGTCGTCCCGAGGATTCGACAAGCCCGGTCGTGTTCCAGCCATTGACTGACTTTGACCCAGTGGAAGCTGGTGGTGAAATAGGCTCAGCGACGGCTTGGAGTAACGACAAGGAATATGCCGAAGTGTTCATCCCGGTACCGTGTTTGCAATGCAACGACGGTGTGCACAAGGTGCCCATCTACAAGCAGCACCAGCCACGGAAGATCGAGCAGCCGTGTACCCCGTGCAGCGAAGGCTCCCCTTATAGCTTTACGGACGACGAAGAGGTGGCCTGTCACTTCAGCCCCGTCAACTTGCGTTCCTCGTTTCCACATGTGGACGATTTGTCTAGGGTCCAGCGGAAGCACGACGGCGGCTCATCTCGACGACGACGTTCTTCTCGGTCAGAACAACTTGCTACTCCCGCCACTACCTCTTCGTCCTCTTGTTATTCAGTGCCCTACAACACGGCGCCAAGAAAGCGGTTGAAAACCGAAAAAGACTTTTGCTTCCAGCCGGATTCCGCCTGGCTGACGGGTGCTCTGAAGGCGGCCGCGGCAGCTGAAGGTTTAAGTAATCACAGTCTTTCAGCTTCAGCACCGTCTGCTGACAATCGCTTCAATGCCAGAACTAGTGATGCCGGTGATGCTCCTCTCACAAACCACTCATCGCCTTCTTCGCAAGCCGGCGACTCAAGCGATACCTATCACCTGGCGTCGACCTCTGCGGCCTCTACCTCTTCTTCGTATACCACCACTGACGGTGTAATCGCCGACTCTTGGTCTCAGCGCTCCCAACCACGGATCGTCATTCGTATCCCGAAATATGCATTGGCGACCGACGACATCAGAGACCACACTGTTCCTTCGTCTTCAGTTGTAACCGAACAGATCAGCGGCATGGTTCTTCCTCAGAGCGGTATTTCTTCCAGCAGCGTTCCTCCGGTCGAGTGCTCGCAGCCGGCGTCATTCACTTCTGCCTGTACAGACATTCCCATTGTGCCTCCGAACAGCCGAACGGAGTCGCGAGCCTCAAGTACCAGTGGAAACGAAGGTAATTCGATACACAGCAGTTGTCTGTTCATTTCCTTAGATCAATCCAACCGAATGAGATAGGAATTTTCGACATAATCATGCACGTTTCTTATTTATTTATGCTATTTCTACTCTAACTACTGTTTTAAAAAGTATTCAGATGTCATGCAGTACCGAAACACGTGGTATCCATGTTGTTTGAGTAGCCAACGACACGACTGTCCAGATGGTTACATATATATTCAGAGTTGATCAGGGAGGTGATCTTACCATTAATTATTCAACAGTGTTCACGATTTTCTCCGTCGAAACCAGGGTTTAGTTGGTAAAATGTCCTGTTCATGATCTAGTTGTCGTAGCTTCCGGCTCTGCTTATGACCCTCGCCTTTCGTCTTTCTGATGACGGCACTGTAGTGTCGACCTTGTTGCAAATATCGCCTTAAAAACACGCCGGGCTGACGATGCGAAGTTGCAAATTAGTGCTGAAATATAAACTTTTTGAAAGAGGTAACTAAAACTATTGCTCATCCGTTTAAGGTGCAACCCGTCCGAACTGTAAGGAAAACTTGCTTGAGAACCGATTTTGCTGTTCTATGTTTTGACTTCCCGTTCGATGTACTGGTAATCTGAACAAACACAAGGGAGATGCTCTAAGGGAAATGGATTTTCCGACGGGTTTCTTGCT